AAAAAAAAAAAAAATCTCCCAGTAAACTAAGATTTTCAAATAATTACTTAACAATATATTATACATACATATAAGCACAATATATGAATCCCGATTGTAAGTAACGTTTCAACGAAATATTCGTAATTTTTTGAAAATACGAGAAAAGACAAACTAAGTACCCTTGATAGAATGTAATTTCGTGTGTCGAAGATATCGGCGGGATGGCACACGCCGAATTCAACATGAAAATTAGCCATTTCAACCATTCGGAGTTTGTTGCATCGTAATGATGTCGCATTCATACGGTTCGTTATTTTAATTTGACTATCATTCACGATGATTTGGTGGCAGGGTGCCTGACTAGGAGGTTCACTTCGCCGTCGTGCAGTTTCTTCATGAGGGACCACGCTTCGATTCTCGACATACGCGTCACGTCGTAACCGTTCACTTCTAATAACTGATCTCCCGCTTTCAAAGCACCTGTTTTCTCGGCAGCACCTCCTGCGTCACAATTTTTTGTCAAGAATCTCAAATATTCAAATACAAGAGGAAAGTCGTACTTTGTATGAACGTGAACAACGTACCGGTAAATATTTTCTTTATCAACAGTGGCCTGTCTCCAAGAGGGCTGTCTCTACCTCCTTCGAGACTGAATCCCAAGCCAGTTCCGTCTTTGTAAACCGCTACAACCGACGGCGGACCCCACGCGATATCCTCTGCAGCATCGTTCGTCTCGAATCCTACGAAAGAGGAATGCACGTTGAATTGAATATCTCCTGAAGTTATATAGGAAATTATGTCATAGAACAGTATGTAAAAGAACAGTTTTCCAAAATCCAGTGTGCAAATCAGTTAATTCTATCATTAACCCATGTGTTAAAATCGTATAATAAATTTTCTATCAGAATCACCTTCGATGATAGTTTCGACGCTGGCGGTCCGTGATTTCAGTTTGCAGCCATCCTCGGATCTCGCTCGAGAGACGACCAAAACGACTTCCGATCTAGGTTGCTTGAGTACCGCGATGCTCTCCCTGTGCGTGAGACCGTGCGTGCTCCTGCCATTTATACTGAGAATCCTGTCGCCTCTCTGCACACGGCCGTCCTTGTCGGCGATAGAATGAGCCAGCACTCGATGGACCGTGATTTCTTTGATCTCACAATCCGCCCCTCCAGCCAGAGTGATTCCAACGCTGCCGCTTGGATTCTCCTTATGAAGTAGCACAACTATCACGTCGTGGGCACCCCGAGCTTCTTCGAGACTCGCCTCTTCCACCAGCTGCGCCAATTCCTGCTGCGAAATCAAGCTGGTGCTGCTGGCTAACGAACTGATACTTCCAAATTGCTCGCTGCAGCATCTGTCCGTGTCCACGTCAGTTCCAGCCGGGGACACATTCTCGTCGATGCTGCTGTCTAAACTGGGGAACCGGTTGTGAGTAGTTTTGGCAGTTTGTTGCGGACTGGTGGCACAGGTCGCTTCCACAGCCTTCTTCACGTCCGTGACACTGGCGCTCCTTCGACCAAGATTTCTCGTCACTGGGATTTTCGATAGCAACATTGACTTGGACCTCTCGATTTCCGTCGTTTCGTCCCCGCTGCTATCGGCAAGTCTCGATTTCTCCAGCGTGCCGGCCTTCGAGAACGATTTGTCCTCGCTCCACAACTCGTTCAACAACGTCGTGCTTCTCCTAACGTATCGATTGTCCCTGGTCTCCCACAGAGGTTTACTCTGCGCATTAGAGAGTGTACTGTTCTTTTCGATTCTCGTCTCGCCGCTCTGACCTCTCAATTTCGCGTCCGCCTTCGCACTGAGAATATCCTCCAGGCTCATCTGACTCTTCGATCGGCCAAAGCTCCCGTCGTCCACGTGTATCGCCGATCTAGATCTACTCTTCGTCGTCAGAATCGTCAGAAGATCGTTCTGATCTTCGGCAGACTTTTTCGTAGGTATGCCGGTAGGTGGAGACCGTTGTTTCGACATCTGTTGCTTCTGCAGGAGTTCGTTTTCGCTTTCTTGTCTTCGTCTACTGCTCAACACAGACAGATCGACCGGACCAAGTGCTTGGCTCTCGATCACGGCAGGCTTGTTGCTCTTGAAGCAATTATCCACCGAGTTAACATCGACGTCGCGAGACTTCTTCTCCATCTTATTAGCCGTCTTTTCTTCGGTCGATCTTGCCAGAGCTTTCGCCTCCGTACGTACCCACATCTTCAGGTCGTTGGACGGTTCTATCATCTCGAACTTGGCTGGTCTCACCATCGTCGCGGACGTTACGTTTCTCTTCGAGGATAATAACCTGGAGCCGTCGTTGCTCTTTCCTTGGAAAGAATCGTCCTCCCCGAACGAGTCTGTCACCTCTATGTAGGCAATCTTCACGTCCTGCGCGCTGGGAGCCGCGTCTTTCGCACGATTCTTCTGATAACTGTCCTCGCCGTTCTCGGAAATTGCCGACGATCGACACTCGTCGTCGTCGGGGAACTTCCTCTGGATCAGCGGCGAGCCATTCAAATCCCTGCCGCTCCTGCATCTGGCGCTGGCCAAGATGTTCTTGCGATTGATCGCTTCCACGCTTTGCGGCTTCAGTACTCTTCTGGACAGAGACTCCGCGCTCGCCTGGGAACCGGAAGTGAGGGTGGAAGACGTGCTGCAGTTGGTGTCCGTGCTGTTGGATCGCTTCAATTGCCTCTGTGGTATCTGAGAGTTTCTGGAATTCAAGTCTGTCGTCGGCGATCTGAGGCCGGAGCTGCTGCTACTCGACGAAGATCTGTCGGAGATGAACAGCCTGTCGTTCGCCATGTTAGACCTGGTGGTAAATTCTACAGTTGGCTCCCTCGTGTACGTTCTAGTCGGGCTGTCCATAATGAGGGATCGTCGTTGATAGCTGGCCTCCGTAGAGACGTAGGATCTCTCCGACGAGACGGTAGACCGTTCCGAGGGAACCGGCGACATCGGCGGACTGAAGCCTCGGGAGATGCTGCTCTGCGAGCTGCTCACTGCAGAATCGTTGTCCGAGTCGTCGTAATCCATCCTGGCCTTCCTTTGTGCCTGTGTCGTCCTCGGCCTGCCGCGTAGCCCCTCTGGCGAGCTGGCTGTAGACGCGAACTCGAAGCTGTAGTCGCTTCGCGTTGGACTACAGATGCTCTCCAGGCTTTTCGGAGGTTCGGACAGAGGCGGTGTTTGGCAGCTGGTCGAAGGGCTCTTCCTCGCGCTGCTGTTTATCGTGGAACTGCTCGAGGAGGACCCGTACACCGCGAGGCTCTTCCTCTTGAAGGCTGGTGAATACTTGGAGTGTATCTGAGGAGCTGGCATCTTGAAGGAAGCGGTGCTCTTCAGGGGGGCGCTCGCCGTGCTCGCGTTGCTCGCCAAGGAACTCTGGGAACCCCATTTGTCTTGAATGTTCACTTTCAATGGTAGCTAGAAGAGGTGGGAAATATCTTTGTAAGTTTGTGGAATGTTAACGAAGATAAGCTTCGACAAGTATGTATACGACTTTCTATTACGAAAAATGAAATAACAAATACACTTACCTGATGCAGTAGTATCGAGTCTCGCGACTTGATTTCAGGCAGATCAACGATAGGCGCGTCGATCAACGGTATCGTCTCTTTCTCAGGAATGACCAACCCCCTGAGCTTCGATATCGACTTTTTCCTTTGCTCGATCAACTGATTCAAGCTGGTCCTCCTGATATCCTCGTTCGGCCTTTTGAACGTGGACGCCAACGAGCTCGTTCTCGTAACTTGCGACATCGTCGACAGCTCGCTCGTTGTCGAACTTCTGTCCTGAGTACTGTACGGGCTCGACCCGGAGAAACTGGTGGCACGTGACAGCGCGGTTGATGCCACGGGTTTCGCCGCGACGCTCGACGACGAATTCTGACTCGAAGTCGTCAGAGAGTAACTCTTTATCGGCGATTTAGGTATCGAGGATGTTTCGAACGACGAGTTTACACCCGTTGAGGTGGCTGGCTTTTGCGGGACAATCGGGTACGCCTTGGAGGTGTAGATAGTCGGCGACGTCAGCGATGAGTTCTGCGTCGTGCTCGACGATCGCCTGTATTTCTTGCCGAGATCTTGGCCAACGTTCTTCCCCGAATCCGTCAAGTCGAAAGAACTCTGCGTCCTGTCCGCGAAGAACGAGGCCCTCTCCTTCTGTCCGGAGTTTTTCTCGTCGTTGCACACGTCCTCCGTGGACTTGTATCTGGGCAATCTCCTGCCGTTGTTCGTCGCAACGCTGACCACTACCGAATTAGGAAACAGAGGACCGTCCAGGCTACTCTGCGACGAGAACATCGCGATCTTATCTCGGACCGATCGTTCGGACTTGTCATCTTGCCTCCAAAGTTCCCCGTTCAGTGAGAATTTCCGCGGCGTGAACTCGAGGATCGCGACGTTCCTCCCGTACGGCGAGCTGCTCGTTTCTGACTTGGACGGGCAGATTGGTTCCGCCTTCGGTGAGCAGATCGTCTCCAAGTTTGGCGGGCCTGGAACGAAGAAAAGAAGGAGTCAGAAACGATTATATATTATTCTATGATTTATATAATTATTTATATAATTATATAATTAATTATAGTATCATTGTCACAATATTAATATTTAATTGTCATAAATTCCTTCAACGAGAAAGAACAAATTAAATTATGCACGAATTTCTTGATATTTAATCGTCTGACAATTAAATCGTACGACATTCTTCGTGCAATTTAATTTAATTTATTTTTTTTAGAAATCTTCTTGAAGAAATCCATATTACGATAGCTCAAGACTGTTCAGTTCTTTTCCTTCTTAATGAATTCCGAATAATTCTGAATAAAACACTGGGTGGAAAGATTTACCAGTGAGTGGCAATGGCGGAGGCGTGTCCAGGCTGTCCTTCTCGACAAGGTCCTGCATTTCCTCGATAACGGGCACGTCCTTGTGATAGTAGCCGGTGATCTCGATCTTCTTCTCCGACAGCAGAACGTTACCATCACCTTGCGTCCCGTAGCTGGCCGAGTAGTTGGTCGCGGACGTTGGAG